TTCTTTTAATATGCTTCATTTATGGATCTTCATTCAGAAGTTCATTTTCATAATTCCTTCCACCAGCACATCTGCATTTGTAATTGCTGTTGCGGTAAAAGCTCCTAAAATACCCTGCCATTTTGAACTCGAGATTGCTAGGGTCGGTGTTAAAAATTTTCACATGCTTTTTAAATGTCATCTCATTATAAAAACAGGTCTCCTGGTTAGAGCAGTCGGAATCCAGTTTTAATACGCGCGGCTTTTAATAGAGAGGCTATCGCTAGCGGCTCTGGAGTCTGAAGGCCCACGGTGAAACGGCTACGTTTTGTTACAAGTCGGCCTCTCGCTTTAGCTGACGATTAAAAAAATTAAACATCACGTCATTGCATTCATTGCTTCTTTTTTCTTTTTTGGTGGGACGGGAAGGGGGCGAAAGCTGCGTCACTTGAAGGGCGTATTCGTGAACGCACTATCTCGAGGCCGAAGGAGACATGCTCGTAAATTTACTGTGCTACGTAAACGTCTGCTTCGCATTTAGATAACTGACAGTGCAAAAACCGCTTCGGCGATTGGAGTGATCACTGTCTCTTCAGTCGGCGTTCATTTGAGTTATGCAACGTCGTGTCCAAAACATATTTGTTAGTTTAGCTTAGGTGCGATACAAACAGTCTGTTCGCACTGAAAGTGCAAGCTGTCTTTAATGCCTGCAGAATTAGCGCGAGTGCCAATGATCACACATAATGTTCATCAGAACACCCCCTTCTCCCCTTGCGTTCCTAGTTCCTTCCTGCTTTTTGAAGATGGGTGGCACGTTCCTCTCTGCTTTATTAACACTGGATGGCAAACCAGGCACACGAGTGATGCTATCGCATCGGCACTCCGTGCAAGGGAGGTAGGGGGGCTCTTTTATTGTGATAGCAAAGCAAATAAATGGACAGTCTCCGCTGTTTCTTTTTGCCGTGGCCGTCGTCACTCACCGTATATGTATACATATCTAGTATATCAAAACTCAAGAAAAAAAATGACCCGCACTTGGCGCCTCGCTCATCATGATGCGCTTGTCTCACATCCGGAACGTGCCCCCCCCCACCCCCTCAAATCAAGGGCCACTCCTCCTTCAGAGAAATATTAAAAAATTTTATCTATGCCCTTGGCAATGGCAAAGACCGGTTGAGAATGTCCTTGCGATTGCTATCGCATTAAAATAAACATGGCTCTTGCTTTCTAGTTGTCTTAGGTGTATGCATAAGGTACCCTTATTACGAAGTACCAGATTTCTCGCATCGTAGCATGCCACATAATATACAGGGTGACCATCCGCCGCTCAGCGGCATACGATTCATGGGCGACAGACACTGCTAGTTCATCAGATGGAAGTCTTTCGTAGTCTTCCTCATTTTATTTCATCGCATGCAACATTTTTTTATACAGACAGAGCGACTCTTCCACTAAGTGATCCACGTTGCCACCCTTGGGACTCTTCAAGAGGCTGAACTGAAGCATTAAGTTTTGCAGACAAGCGTAATGCAGCGTCGCTGGATCACTTTTTTCTTGTCGTTGACGCCTTCAGGCATTTCAGAGTAACCCAGCGCAATCACCGATTGACCAAATACTTGTAAAGCAGCTACCGCCTCTGAAAAAAAAGCAGCACACCCGAGAAAAACTCTGCAAAGTGCGCCGCTCACTACCCATGCCGCTGCCATCAGCGCCTCTAGCGGCATCATCGCGCCGAAGGGCCTTCTCCGGCAAGCAAAAAGTGCCGCGCTCATTGCACCTCCCCATTCTAGCCACCCTACCTCTGGTAAAAAAGAAAAGAATAAACAAGAACTTGAGGGCCTTCTCTGTAACAAAGTGCTGTTTTGTAACACAATAACGCCCTTCTAATTTGAAAAAAAAAACAGTTGTTCATCCATGTTGTGCAGTTAGGCTAAATAAGGAATTGCTTCATCTTTCGTCAAGTGCACTTACAACATGATTTTTTGCCGATATACTACTCCAACTACGAAAGAAAATTACTTTTTTAAAGCAGTCACTCCAGAGTAGCATTGAAGCAAGCAACACTGCTATTATTACATGAGTTGTACTTAGACCGAACGCAGATATACACTGATGGGTCCGTCTCATCCAGCAGCTCATCAAGTGCCGCTGTAATTCCGGCTGCAGAAATGACAATCAAATTTAAGTTGTCACATATGACTACATCTACGGCATCAGAGCTTGCTGCTATAAGGGCTGCTTTACAATATCTCGTTCAAGAACGTCCAGGAAAATGGGTCATATTCTGTGATTCGAAGGCAGCGCTTCAGAGTTTGCAGTCTGCCATGCGTAGGAGGAGCCATGACCAACTGGTACAAGAAATAAGACATTGCCATCATGAAGCTCTAGCACGAGGGCATGATATTATATATCAATGGCTGCCTGGACATATCGGTATTACCGGAAATGAACTAGCCGATGATGCAGCGCGCTCTGCCCATGAAGAAACCCGTGTAGTCCCGATTCCTCTATCAAGGAATGATGCAGCAAGACAACTTTACCTGCTGGCTCGAGATCTCACACGCACGTTCTGGTCGTCTACCAGCTTCCAAAGGTGTCAATTTTATGAACTGGATCCTTCGCTAAAGCTAAAGCTACCATCACAACTTTCCCGCTCCGATGCGACACTGTTATGCCGCCTTTGGTTGGGTGTTGCATTCACAAAGGTGTACTCCTTTCGCATTGGTATGGCGGACACTCCTACATGCGACTACTGCGGAGATGAAGAAACCATCGAACACGTCCTCTGCAGCTGCGCTTGCTACGACACACAGCGATGCCAGCTACGGATGGTTTTGAATCGACTTGACCCCGGACCATTTTCTGTGCGGAAGATACTAGGACCTTGGGCATCTGCCTCAGTTGCGCAGAAAGCAACTAAAGCACTGCTTCTTTACCTTAAGTCAACAAACCTGAGCGACCGCCTGTGAACTGTGTGTGCTCACCGAGTGTGCTCGTGATTGTGTGTACCTTCTCATCTTTGTGTAACATCTTTTCTCCCCTTTATCCCTTCCCCAGTGCAGGGTAGCAAACCGGATGTGCGTCTGGTTAACCTCCCTGCCTTTCCTTGTATCTTTATCTCTCTCTCTCTCTAAAGATCCAGGAAAGGAGAAAAATACCATAAATCTAAAACTTATGGGAGCCGCGACCGCGAGCGCGCCGATTGTAGATAAAAGAGGAGGACGAGGATCGCGGGTGCGCTCGCGGCACGCGGCAGCCGCTGGCAGCGGGCAATTGCAACCCGTGTTTTTAGCAGTAAATATGATTTCTGTCGGTCTCCACTTCTTTTTGACGGGTTCTTGGGCTAGCCTCAGCCTCGAACCTCTGCATTTGGCGCCTAACAGGAAGGACAGCGCCCCTGGGCCACGGACATCGAGGTACCTGGAAGTCCACGACCATGGCCCTGATGACGGCGCTGACCATCCCTACCTTTGCCGGCGAAGACGCGAGGGAATCGGTCCTCGACTTCATTGATGACTTTTTCGACTGTTAGTAGCTTTCTGAAGTCCGACGTAGTTAGGCGGGTCTTCCCATTTGCCCTGCGCTGTGCCGCAGAACGATGGCGGCGTACCTCCCTTCCAGTCCTGGAACCAGTTCGTCGTTGCACTCCAAGAAAAGTTCCTGCCTGTTGCCTACGACTACCGTATCCATCGTGAGCTTGATACCTGGATGCAACACCTAGAGAAGTGTTTGCCAGATTATGTTCGGGCCATGCTGAAGCTCTTCTGTCGGGTGGACCCCACTGCACCTGAGGCCGTTAAGGTCTCGCACGTAATGCAGTGATGCCACCCTCGTTTCCAGCTGCATCTGTTGGGTCGCTCTTTTCCTTCTCTCTAGGAACTTGCTCGCTTTGCTTTAGCATATTGCCGAGCCATCTTCTCCAGCCGTACCCACAGTTGCAGAGAAAGGAGGTGAGCTCCATGGAGGTGCAGCAGGGATGCATTGTTGTCGACAGGGTTCATGGGATGTCGCCAACGTTGAAGCGATTGCTGATGCCTTGTTGGACCTTGACGCGACGTGAGATGGCCCTGCAGAGCGAATAAGGGCAGCGATCATAAATGTGGTCACCAAGTCCTACATGACGATGCAGCAGACAAGAAAAAAAAGAGGAAGAAGAGGAAGAAATCGAGAGTAATGGAACGCAGGGGCACGAGAATAGCACCAGATGAATCAGAGTCTGGTGCCGAGGTGGTTCACACTCGTGACTTTGAGAGGGACAAGGCTGCCCATGATGCCGAACTGGATCCTCTGAAGCAAGACACACTGGGGCATAATACCTGCATCAGTCAGTTGGAACCCAAGTTGGGAAGCTTGGTTGATGCATGTGATGGTTATGTGGTTATCAGAAACCATGTAATGCGTGTGATGGTTATGTGGTTCAGAAATGTGGTGGTAACCACATTTCTGAACTGGAGGACAAGGTCCGTATTCTAGAGAAAAAGTGGGCTGAGGACTGGCAGTAGTGCAGTTGCATGTAAGGCCTGTTTGAGGATTCACAAAAGCGCGTCAATGATCAGCAGCAGCAGAACTGTGGTAAGTTCGAAGGGCAGTTGCTGGAGAGGGACACCAAACTGTCAAAACATGCGGCGCAGCCACGAAGGAGAGTTGCAACGGAAGCGCATACCCAAAGACTCACACTGGACGAGCTACGAATGCAGGCAGCAGACCGCCGTGTTCAGCTCGTCCAGGCCCAGCACTACCGGGATCGAGAGGCCAGTCAAGCAGGCACTGGTTTTGGAACATAGCATGAAGGAAGCAGAGGACAAAGAAAACCAGGAGCGGACCCAAGGGTTCAGGGCTGGCCAGAAGACTTTGTCCGCGAAGGTGCTCGAAGTAGAGAGGCGGCAGCTCAGTCTCTTGTCGCACTCCGAGAAAACATTGAAGCTTGGTCTTAAGAAATGTGAGGCTGTGAGATCATGCAAGACGAGTTCGTAAAGCTGAAGCAGGAGATGGCCTCGGTAGCTATGGAGAACTAGTGACTGATGGCGGAACTTGAAGCAAGGAAACAGCAAGCGAACAAAAAACAGTGTGGACTGAGAGAAGAGGTGACGCAGCTGCAGGAATTCATGGAGAAGTTGAGAGAAAAGGTGGAGCAGTTGGAGGAAGCTGCAGCCAACGCGAGCAACTGCATCAGCGCGACTGGCCTGGCGTGCCACGTGGCTGTCCTGGAGGAACAAAGCTGCGTCAAGAGAGAATTTAAAGGGAAGTCAGGTATTCACATCAGTAAGGATGGAGAAATGAGAACTAGAGGCGTATGCAGTGTGTGCTTCAGCAGGGAAGTCATGACTCCATGGTTGTCAAGGTTACCAGCCTTCCACAACTACCGCTTGGAGGAGTGGCCACGATCGATACGTGACTAGTCCAGAAAGCTACAACGGAAATGACACATTACAACGGCTTATGGCTCGCCGGGACTGGCGCTGCATCAGGAGCAACGCTGTTATGCCATGCTTTCACAGACGACCATGGTCGTCAACTTGAGCAAGTCTGGTGTGCCCCCGTCCTCGGGCAGCGGCGAAGTTGGCCTCTCTGCGTTGATCGACTGTTCCGGCGTATGGTCGTGTGTGCCACGTGCGGTCCGTCGTGGCCAAGACTAGCAGCTGCCACTTTCACCATACGGGAGGGGGAGTATGGGAACGGAGACAGTGAGCGTGCCAGTTAAAGATAAAAGACGAAGACTTGAATTGTGGTATGCTCATGGCACACAGCAGCCGCTGGCAGCGGGCAGTTGCGGCCCGTGCTGCGACCAGTAAAGATGGTTTCTGTTGGTCTCCGCCTCTTCCCTGAAAGATTCTTCGGCTAGCCTCAGCCTCGAACCTCTACTACTTCAGCTATCTTGCACACAATGTGACACCACATTTAAAAAACGTTGAAGAGCTCAAAGCGAATTTAAACTGAATGTATCACCGATACCATGCCTAGAAAATGTGCTGTATATATATATACAGCACCATAGCTATACCATGGCTATAATATACCATATATATATATATATATATATATATATATATATATGCGAATTTTTTTGTGGATTCAGTGCTTTGTATGCGTTGAGAAATGATGGACGAATGTGCGAAAATGTTTATTACTTCGCACGTTTCGGCAAGAGGGTTTTCGCACGTTCGTTCATTGTTTCTCGACACACGCACACACACACACTGTTTTTAAATGCTCCTGATACGCTGTAGTGGAAAAGCATCGAGCTGATGGCAACACAAAGTGACGAGAAAGAGCTTTTACTGAATAAGAAAATGTGGGATACATTCGTCCAATTATCCCTCGAAGGGTTAAGGAAGAAGATTTCATGTGTCGTTGATACATGCAATTGCAGCCCATGTCATAGAATGCATTTTTTATAATTTGTCACACAGGCAAGCTTAATTTTTGATGCATAGCGTTTTGCTTGGCTATGCAATATGTTTTCATTTGCATGTATGTGTGCATGTATGTATTAGCTTGTTTTACCAAAGGCATTGTAACACTCCTCAGGTTGAGAATTTCTGGAATAGCATAGAAGTATTGATGTCTTATAGGTATCTTATGTCCAGGCTTACGTTGTGGCGGTGCCAAGGAAAAAAATAACAAAAAAGAAAAACTGTGCCCTGCAGGTGGAGCCAGTGTGGGCATCCCTGTGTTCAGCCCTGTCCTCCCAGTGCACGTCGTGTCCGAGGGATGACTCCCTCCTGTGTGCCCTGACTCCTCTGCTCGAGGTGGCCCTGGGATATTCACGGGGCCAGGTGCATGACCGTGCTGTCCACCTGTGGCAGTCACTGTTTGCCCGTTCTCCCAGTCTGCATGTGCAGCCCAGGCTCAGGTTAGCTCACATTTATATCCACCCTCAAAGCGCACAAGCATTGAGCAAATGTTTAGAATGCCTCTTCTAACTTCTTCTTGGAGATAAAAAAATTATCTGCTTCAGATGTGCCATGTTTTTTCCACAACCATGTCAAAACGATTCGTTGTAAAAATAGGAGGCTTTTAAGGATGTTCTCCTTATATGGACACAATTTTAATAGGTAACATAGGAAAGTGAACAGAAATATGGTCATAAGAAGAGATTTAACACTGTTTTACCACACTTTGCCCTTAACAGGAGGTCCTGATACAGTCTTTGACTTTGGGACCTCCTTTTGTATACTAAACACATGTCACATTCTTTTATTCGTATCAATAAAAAATCTGAAATTTTAGGTTGTACATATACTTTACATTACCGGCTACCGGACACCGGATAAAATTTGCACATGCGCGGGTCTTTACGCAAAGCAAACCTTTACGCAAGTTAACTACCCGCTGGATAGGCTTTGCCTTTGCGGCTCTATTTCGCAAATATACCTTCGTTCGTAGAAACTTGCGATATCCGCAGTGCGGAGGCTGCAGCCGTCAAGTCAAAGTAAGCCGAAGTGCGAGCGCCGATAGTGATTAACTGAAGCCTCTTTATAACAAAGTTGCATCTCACATGAAAATAAGTTTGTTATATCCGAAAATTTGTTATAAAAGTTATTCCAAACACTGTATCCATGGCAAAACTATTTATCATTTACTTTGATATCACCAATATTTCGTTATATTTGGGTTTGTGATAACAATGTTTGAGGGTGCAGTACATTGTTTCAACCGGATTAGCATAGCTAGGATGGCCTAGAACATCGAAGCCATAAACATGCAAGTTCCCGACAGGCTGGATTTGTGGCGCCATCTAGCGGGGTCCAAAGGAACCAGGAAATCACAAAATTGTTATTGTAAAATCATCGTCAATTGTATGTTGGTGTAAAAACCTCGCAGCGGTGTTATCACGAATGAGTTTCCTATTTAATTATTTCCACCTGAAAAACATCATATGCAAGCCAACTTGTTCTAACTTGTTGCACGAAGTGTTGTAAGTTGTCGACGTCATCATTGCAGTAACCTTCACCTGTTTGTGCATACGAGGATACTGTACATGATAAAATAACATCTCGCTATTTTGCCACAGCTATGATTCAACTGTATCTTAGTTAAATATACAGTATTGCTACCGCTGTGCCGATTGCGCCCAACCTGCACTAAAAGGCGTGCTCCGAATTTGAGAGAGGAGAATACTTGAGGTTCTTCCGTTGATAATGACATCGTGGTGCATCTGCGTAAAATGCAACCAGAGTCAAGCCAAGACAAACTGGGCCAAATGTTATTCTCAGGATGCCGTTAATGCCTGGTTTTACAAATTTTATAGGGACTGTGAAATGTGCAAAAAAGATCCATGCCTTCTATTCCACTCAAGTAATCAAATTGCCACAGCCCTTTCTGAAATACCTGCAATGCTTCCCAGAGTGCACTTATCAGGCATTTCCGTGCACGCCCATGCTGTCATACATACATTCATGACCTGCTGACGTCCATTTGCAAATATGCATTGCGTGGTGAGTGCCACCAATTACTGCAAAGCGCTGAATAAGTTGCAGATTTATCGCATCGAGCCTCTGGAAATGAGGACGGTCTCATGTGGCATTAGTTGTGTGCAGCACATCGCGAACGCAGCTGACAGCGTTCCTACCGGGGCATTTTTGCACGCACGTGTTTGTCATGAAAATGTGTTCTTCGTGCCCACTCGGTTCCTGATCGCCCACGGGCGTGTCACTGGTGAGCTGCTTTCGTTTGTGCAGGCACCACGTCATTGTGGCACACTTGACTGATTCGCAAAGAATGGCACTTTGGATGGCGGTGCGTGTGAGTGATTAAAAGCGTGTAGTACGTCGATGGCTGCGCCATGTGCAGTAGCACGCAGTTAGCTGAAAATGCTTATCATAAAGTAATGAAGTCTTACTTGGCTGTTTGCTGCATTTCTGCCGTCACGCCTCCGAGCATTCTTGGTGCTTATCCGTAAGACATCACGTAACTGCGCAGTGACACCGACCCCTTCAGTTTTTCTTTATGTGCTCCACTTTATAGCATTTATGCATTAAGGCAAAGCCGCCTCTCGGACATTACTGTGACGCCAAAGAACTCCTAAAAGCGTTTGTTTAAGTGAGGTCAAAGACGTAGCAGAGGCAGGTACTTTAAGGGGGGTCACTGTACTTGAGAGACAAAATGCCAGATATTTTCTAGTGTTTATGAAAAAAATTCACAATGTGATTGAGGTTTTGATGCTGATTTCAAAATTGTAATTACTGTTCATTTAAACCAATTAGTTTTTGAGATATCCCAAAATATATACTTATTGTTTGCTGGTATATTAACACAAGAAATTTGTATTGCTGAGCTACCATTGGCACATGCCTGTGTAATAATGAACATAGGCTACACAATGGTAGGAGGGCTTTTTTGAATTGATAATTTTACCAAGGTTTGTCGCACCTTGCATCTCAGTGTTGCAGACACACCCACTTTATGCTCCAATTTCTGGCAAAAACATAATTTTTTGAAGATCTCAATCGAAAATTTCAACCTACCAATGTGTAAACTAATGATGCAGCTACATGTCACAACAAAAATTGCAGTCCTAGCTGCTCTGCAGGCAGAGATATCTTTTAGACAAGTTTGCAACTGCAGGAAATTTTGAATCCGGTGAAATCATGCAAAAACACAAGTTCATTTTGGGCAGACAGTGGCATGGAAAAGCTGTTTATTTACAATGATTTGCAAATTCAGCTTTCTCAGTAATCACCAGGCATGTAGTCCTTCTAATTTGTGTCACCTAAATGGCGTTTTTTTCAATGCCCGCTGCATGTTTTGAGAGCACACTAGCGAGCTGATCTGGTCGCCGTGTGCTCGTCTGCCGACTAGGCCGCTTATCAGTTCGGTCATGCCCATGTGCGACGAATGTGCTCGCGTAATCCACGGTCCGTCGTATAAAAAACCGGTATTTCAGCTTGTCCAGATTGAGTTGTTGATGTCGCAGACCGAACTTGTGCACTAGCTTATCAATTTCAAGGCTCCATGAGCTGCGAGGTGTTAGTTTCATTTTCGAATGGAGGCCGCGGTGCAATATGCTCATCGTTGCGGACGCGTCGTTACTAGCACTCTACCTGTTGCCAGTAGCCTCCATTGTGCGGGTGGCGAGCTCGTTTACCGTAAACGAATTGATTTTCTGTTGTTGGCCGCACGTCGGCAAACAACAGAAAATCACCGTCACGCAGTTCACGTCGGACGGGAGGAACCCGTGGCATCGGCGCGTTTAGTGATAAAACTGCGCTTTCGTTCCATTGTTGCAAAGATTGCTATCTCTTGTAGCTTCACTTCTGCTTTTTTACTTGCCGTCCTGTAACTGTTGAGGCTCCAAAACACTGCAGCTTTCATCGACGTTGTCGACAACCGATGGGCTCGTACGTAAATTGGGCCTACACCAGTGACTCGGCGACGGCCGTTGAATGCCGCGAGTTTGCCATCCTCTCTGTCTTGAGTATAGCGGGGCTCTTTTTGAAGTTCACAGCGAATGAACGAGCGCCACACCCGCTTTACAAATTAGTGCGGCGAGGAATTTTTTTACTGCGGCAGGCAGTCGACAGCACCATGACAAAATGGTGCATGTCCGTGCCCGTCACGACGAAGAAGCAGACGCGGGAAATGCCACTTGGCCAATCGGTTGCCTATAGGTTTTGTCACGTGCCCGAAGCAGCCAATAGAATCGCGCGGTGGTGCTTCTCGATGACGCATTTTTGCTGAAAAACCAATGAGCAAGGTGAGCAACTAGTGGTGAGAAATGGAAGATGAAGAACGACCCTTTCAAACGAGACTGAGATGACCACGATAGCTCGTGTGTAACGGCAGCAGTTTGGCGTGGAAAAAGCGCGATTTTAGCATCTATTTGTGCTCAGATTCATCTCACAGAGGTGTTATAAATTGATTTTGTGCCAGAAATAATGACACGAGAAGCTAGAAACTTCTCACATGAGTGCAAAAATAGTTGCAGATTCTGAAAATGTCAACTTCAAAAAGTCGGGGTTTTTTTTCGCAATTTCAGCCTTTTAAGTCCCGTGTCTCCTTTTAAGTAATGCTGTTTCATACCTGGAATGCTGTATGAAAATCCGAAAAATCGGACACCGAAGAGTTGCACCAGACGTGGCCGGGTTATTTGTCGGTGATATAATTTTCTTTTTTTACTTTATTATTCTTTTATAGTGAGCAGCACTTTGTGATTGTATCATTTGTGTGTCATGAATGCAGTATTAAAAAAAATGGAAGGAAGGGCTAGATGGAAGCTTGTGATGAAAAAGTCTGTAAACATGGGTTGTGTCAGGCCGATGTTTGGACAAGCGGTCTTGCCTTTCTCAAGGCTAGAACAGAACACTTCTGTTCTGAAGCAGACAAATCCGCTTGTCGGAAGCAGGGCTAGGTAGTATCAGGATACAAAAGTATTGCGATAGTATTTGGCGCATACTTTGGGGTAGCTGTATTGCTTGCACAGTCGAAACCCGCAATAACGAAACCCCGTGAGTAGGAAATCCCCGCGGCAACGAAATATTTCCGGATCCCCGGCGAACGTTCATAGAAGCCTATGTATTACGTATCTCGCGGCAACGAAATGTTTTTGGACAGCGATGCCGCATTAAGGAATTTTCTACCACGGTGCTTCGCGATGGCGAAGCTGGCTTCTTGGGCTCATCAAAAGAGCATTTCTCCGTGTTTAACTTTCCCGCCTCAGCTGGCTCCTCCCTTTAAAAACAAGCGCACAAAAAGCAAATGTTTGACGGTTGTTTCGAGGCCCTTGATTTGCTGTGGCCGCCATGTTGCCTCAGCTCGCCTCGCCATTGGCCCGATGCTCGCTCCGGGAGATCGTCGTCTGCTGCTTGTGCGTTGCGAGACATGGCTCTCGAAAATTGCTACTTCGTGACGTGT